TGACAAGTAACCATACCAATATGGATGAGGTGCTTATCCACACTGAGTGGGAATGGAGTAAGATGTCCCTACTGCATAGAAGATATTGAAATGTTTCATCACAGCAGAGAAAATATACTAAGGGAATATACTACTGGCCACCACCAGTGGTCCATATTCTGCTTTTAAGGACATAGGAATATCAGATTTTAAAGAGACCCTGTTGTGTTTGCTGTCATTTCAGGAAGTCTTGACTGCTTATCCTGTTACATTATGTGATACTCTTTCATGTTACTTTTCTACTTTCTTCTATCAAAAACTGCAGGGGCTGGATCCACACTTCAGGTGGTCTGAAGCAAATTTTAGGCCACAGTAGTAGATGTTGGACTTCCAATAGACACATCTTTGTGTCAGAACTGCAGTAATAAGATGCTTTACCTCAACATACCAGATTCCATCCATTGCAAATTTACCAACCCAGATTATTCCTATAGTTTGGAGAAAAGTTAGATAAATGTTTTGTAGTTTATATATTTTAGGTAGTAACGGTATTCTATTCTAGTTTCTATAGTAAGGAGGGATTTAGATCATCTACATCTCCCCCATCAGTTTGTATACAATTTTATACACATACACTTGTTACCATTTTACACTAAATACAGAATGTACAGCTATTGGTCCGTTGCTTGCACAGCAGGCCCTTCTCTACCATTATAAGCTGTGCTGTTCTCACCTGCAGCCTGAGAAGTTCCACCCAGCACGTGCAGCATGAACCCAGGCACTGAGCGGAAATTACAGTTATCGATGGAATGGATGGGATGAGCACTGACAACCGCTGAAACAGAGACAGAATGGTGAAAAATGGGACATGGAAATAATGGAAGTAACAAATGACAGAAAACAATGTGCGTCCCATTTAAATAAATGCAAAGTACTAAATGAAGATGTGAAACAGAGGAGGTGATTTAGGTCTGAACAATGGCAAGCTTGAGGTGGAAGGTAGTGGGGATGAACTGGCTGGTCTGATTCACTGGAAGAACAACAGATATAAAAGAAAAGGTAAGTGTTGTCCAAAAATCAGATCCCAACTATAATTTTTCTAATGGAAGTAAAAAATTAAGCCTGCACAATAAGGCCAAACAATAATGTTCTAGTAAAAAGATGCATATTACCAAAAATCCAGTGTTGGATTTACTTTTGCACTAGTTATACTGGACAAAAAAAAAAAAAAAAACACACAGCTTCATGCTTCTCTTAAAAAAAACTTTAAAATTTCGAGGCGCCCCAATCTATAAAGGGTCTCCCTTTCACAGCAGATCCCTGTGATCCCTCCTTTTACATCCAGATCCTCAGCCCCCCTTTCCACATCCTGTCCTCAGTTTTCATGGAGCTGACGTCCAGCCCAAATTGCACCATTAAAATGGATGAAAATGGATGACATGGCATGGTACCCCTGGGTTAAGGCAGTACCTTTGTTGAGAAATGCTGAGCTACCACCACCGCCTACATACACAGCCCCAAAGCCCCCTAACAGGAAATTAAGTCACAATGTGAAGCCCGCTTTCCACAGAACTTACGTTGTGGAGGCTGAGAGTCAAAAGGCATCATTATTTTTGGTCTCATTCCCCGACGTCCTGCAAGTGAGGAGATAGAATCCTCTGATTCCAGACCTGTGAATGAAGATTGAACAGTAACTGTTGGAATTGTAACCAAACACAATCACCTGTGTTCAGTAGAGGTTCCCCCTATGCAATCTAAGTATCATGCGCCTGCAAAAAATATCTATGTGGCACTATTTTCCGTCAAGTTTTCCCCACTGTAACTTTACTGTCATGAATAGTAATCATTCATAGTATATACCGCTGCTCTCCTCACCTCGGTATGAATTACTGTGCTGGTGAATGCTGCCTTCTGTAGTGCTTTCCCCAGGCGTCAGGTCCTGTGGGGAACGGGGCAGACTGGTGTCTGTCAGCATAGGGTTTGTTTCTGGAGACTTGTCCACTGGCTTTAGCTCTAGTCTTTCATGATGAATCCAAAGATCAGGAGGCTTTACATCCTTAGAGTTGCCTTTGTATTTATGGGACCCATTAACGGACTTGCAAGCAGCTCTTTTCCTGATGGAAAACATACAGGAATTGTTATTAAAGAAAAAAAAAAAAAAAAAAAAAAGGATTTGAAGGAAATAAAACCAGCACACATCAGAAGACCTAAAAAAAAAAAAATAAATAAAAAAATAAAAAAGTCTACACACACTACAAAACACTGCTTACCAAATTGCAGAACACACAAACTATGCTACGCCAAATCTCACCCCCTGCACATAAATACACCCGAACATCGCTGTTCCACCATCATACCCTTCCTTTTCTCAGCACAGCTCAACCCCGGCTACTCTCCCCCTCCAACAGCTCATGCTACCACACCTTTCCTTTCCAGCACAACTCTCTCTCCCCTGACTCCTCTACCAGCTCCCACCTTCACACATTTCCCTGTTCCAGCACAGCAGGTCCTCCTCAGTCTTCACCCTCCAAAACTGCCCCAGCCACTAACTGACATCTTTCCCTAACAGTCTTCCCCACCCCCTTCACTTTCATCCATCTATCCTAGGCCATCCCCCCCCACAGCAGCTAAACTACATCGCTCCCCAATCAACTCAATCCCCATACCACTGATATTCATCCCTCCCTTGCCACTTTACATCTCCTTTGCTGACATCCTTCATTCCAAAGTTACCTCCCCTGTCCATATATGACAACATCCAAACTTCTCTGGCTGTCTCACCTCTAGGGACCTCCAACCCTCCCGAGTCACCTCATCCATCCCTATTGCTTACATCCATCTCTCCCTAGCCCCCATAACCCCTGCAACTTACATCCCTCCCCAACTGCTATAATGCACCAGATCACCCTGCTCCCCAAGAATGCAGTGCTGCTAGTAACTTTTTAGTTTTTGAATACACTGGTTGGGTTTTCCTGGCTGCACTCACTATGCAATAAGCAAACATTTATGATTAGGACAAGAAATAGCTGTATGTTGTGAAACCATATGCAATAAATATTAGAAACTCACTTTTTATGGTGGGAGCTGGAACGTCGGGAGCAGATAGCAGCAATGACCACAGCAACTAGAACAGTTATAACTCCAAGAGAAACAATGATGGTTAACAGCATGTTCTGATCCAGAGAGGTGGGGCTTCCATGAGGACTATTACTGCCTGCAAACGATCCATCAAAATTCAATAAAAAAATAAATAAAACAAACACACTAATAATCTTATTTACTAGTTCATGACAGGAATTTTTATACCCGATAGGACCACAACAATTTTCCTGATTCTGGAGATGTGTCTGTTTTGCTCAAACAGAGGAATTATGACTTGCCTGTAAATTCCAGATCTTGGTGTGCAGAACAAGACAGGCTGAATATTCTTAGACCTTGGATTACAGGCTGGTACCTTTGGGTGACTAGAAATTTGACACAACCCCCCGGGGCATAACTCTATAACTCTACCCTTCTTTTGTGAGGCTTTAGTGTTCTAGCAAGCAATGCAGAGTAACACAGGAAATGAGGGAAGGGTGTCCATAATATGGAATTTACAGTCAAGTCAAAATTCCTCTTATCCTACATAAGATACAAGACACAGGCTGGATTTTCATAGATCCTGGGACACCCCCCAAAGAATAAAAATGGTGGGCAATAACAAACAGAACTGTGCCAAGAGGCCCAACAATAACAAGGGTCAAATGAACCCAACTCAGACCCAACAGTGTGCTCCAGCAAGAACCTTGTGGCTTGGCTGAATACTGCATCCACAGAAACTTGGACTTCCACCTGGTACTTGGAGAAAGTACGAACTGAAAGACCAGATGGAGGCTTTTCAGATATGGGCAACACAGACTTGATTGTTGGAATATCCAGGAAATGCCTACTGATCTGGTGGAGTGAGCAAGTAAGAGCTGGAGGTATTATCCTTTAGGATGCTTTCACACTGATCCCTTTTTGATACGCTTTGTTCAGCTTAAGGGCCCTTTCACACTGATTAGTTTTTCAGCTAAAAAAGCAGAAGAAAAATGCATCACTTTAAATCTTCTGGAACTCTTCACACTGGTCAGTTGTGTTTCGGTTGTCTCTTTACAAGTCTTGCTTGCTGCATTTTTTGGCACGTTTGGTTTGTGTTTCAATGGCCCTTTCACACACGGATCAGTTTTTAAATACAACTTTAGGCAGAAAGGAAGGTCTTGGGCACAAGACTACTTTGTCTTTGTGAAGGATCAAGAATGGCTCCTTACAAGACCGAACCGCTAGTTCAGAGACACATCTGACAAATTTGATAGCCACTAAGGAACTATCTTTCTAGAAAAGATCATCCAAAGAAGGATGGATTCAAAGGGTGGTTTTTGCAAGGCAAAAAAAAAAATTAAGATCCCAAGGAAGCACAGGGTGCTGTATGTTGAACTAATCCTAGATTCTAGAAACACCTCACGTAAAGTTTTTTTACAGGGGGAAAAAAAAAAAAAAGTTTTTAGAACAAAATGGAAAATAAAAAAAAAGTTTTTAGAACAAAAAGGTTGAAACGTGTTCCTTAGAAGTAAATAAGGCTAAATTCTGATTGTCCTGATTGTAGGAAGGCCAAAATGAGAGGCACAGGGAAGTCTCTGGGATTGAAATGCCTGTGTTCACACACACAAGGATTGCCAGGTATGATAGTAGATTTTTCTGAAGTGGCCTTTCTGGCTTTGAGAAATGTGAGAACAAAAGTATCTGAAACACACCTGTCCTATGCCTTGAAAGCCATGATTAAGAAGCAGGATGGACCAGGGGGCCCTGAAACAGAAGGTCTGGCCTGACTGGAATATGTGAAGGAACATCTTCTAGACTTTGAGTAAGTATTTGTCCCAGATTACTCTGGGATGGTTTGGTTCCATGGGAATCATTGGCTTCTCATCTTGTTTTATTTTTCAGTGCAGTCAAAAAAGAATTTGAGCTGGAGGTATAGCATACATTAACTGGAACAGAGTCTAGGAAAACATCAGAGATGCCAGTGATGCAGAAATCTTAATCCTGTCTGCAAACTTGTACACATCTGGGATTTCCCCATTTCTGACTTAGGAGACTGAAGAAATAGGGATGGAGGGCCCATTCCCCTTGGTACAGGCAGTGACAGCTGAGGTTATTTGTCTTTCAATTGTACTGGGATGGGAACAGTAGAGAGGGCTGGACAGTGTTTCCCTGCCTATGAGATGATCAGACTTCCATTAAGGCTGCCTGACTCCTGGTGCCCCCTTGGTGGTTGATCTAAGCATTATCAGACTGTACTGAACTGAAACAACCTCCCACTGGGGCAAGAGATGGTTCAGAGCACTCTGCACATCTGAGTTCCCCTTCAGAAGATTTTGTTTTTCTTTGAAAGAAAACAAGACTAAGAGGGGGTAGAATTTTTAACTCCGTTTTGTACCTCTTCAAAACCACCAACCAAAAAAGAGGTATGGGAAGAGAACCTGAGAAAGGCCAACTGTAACAGACGACCCCTGCTCTTAGGAGTGAGGGGCGCCCCTTCATTGTGAAGAAAGTTTTGGTGTACACTTGGTATGTTTTGTGATCCAAGTCTTGAGCCAAAAAGGACTGAGTTTTGGATTTGAGAAGATGAAGCCTGAGGACAGCAATAAAAAACTCTTCTGAGGAAGGGGGTTTAGAAACCTTTTGCTGTGGAATAAGTACTTTTCCTACTTTGACATCTTTGATGACTTTGTCACAAAATAGAAGTCATCCTTTATAGGGCATATATGTGGGGAGACGTTGCAAGCAGCCATAGGATTCTGAGCATACGGCTAGAAATGAGAATCATTCAGAAATCGGGGTGATAGCAGACAGTAGTGTCTGCAAGTGCTCTGCCAAGGTTCGATCCTGCAAAGGCAGGATCCTGTTGGTTGTTCAGTGCACTAGTCCAAGTAGCTGCAATCTGGGAAACCAAAATTACAGCAATGGCCAGATCCTGATTTGGGTATGTGAAGTTAAAAGGCCTTTAACCACCTCCCAACCGCCATATAAGGAAATGACGGACGGGTGGCGGTTCTCTCGTGCTAGGAGGACGTAATATGATGTCCTCCCACTCTAGCTGTGCATGCACGACCACGGGGGTGCATGGTGATCAGTGGATCACCGATCCCCCCCAGCGGCATTCGGTGGATCACAGCAAAGAGCTGATGACATAGGCTCTATCATGTGATCAGCTGTGTCCAACCAAAGCCGAGTGCATGTAAATAGGTAACGTCGGTTATCGGCAGTCCTCTCCTCACGAGTACAGCGCATGAGGAGAGGAGAGCAGGTAAGCGGCGTTTCCTCAGAGGGGGAAATGGGCACTGGTTATCAGTGCCCTGATTATCAGTGTAGCCCATGAGTGCCGCCCGTCAGTGCAGAAGAAAAATTACTTATTATTTACAAACTTTTATAACAGAAACTAAGATAAAAAATTTTTTTTTCTTTTTTCAAAATTCAGGGTTTTTTTTTAGTTTAGCAAAAAAAGAAAAAAAACAGTGGTGATTAATACCACCAAAAGAAAGCTCTGTCTCAAAAAAAATATAAAAATTTTGTTTGGGCATAGTGTTGCATAACAGCACAATTGGCATTCAAAGTGTGACAGCACTGAAAGCTGAAAATTGGCCTGGGCAGGAAGGAGGGACAGGAAGTGCCCAGTAAGCAAGTGGTTAAAAGTGTCTCAGATTTTCTTTTAACAGAATTTTTAAAAGGAACATCTATAGGCATAGTAAGAGGTTTAAGACTAAGATGGCAGGGTCTACTTCTGAAGCAGACCACTTTATAGTGAACTTTTATTTCCACTGAACAGAGCTTTGCAATGATTCTGCAAGAGATGACAAACTTTTCACAGGTTACCTTATTGTCATAACTTGACATTCCCCATTCATGAGTAAAAAGAAAGGGCTTTTTGTTGACTTGTTGCATGCCTGAGATAGAAAAGGCAGTAGGAAATGCTTGAGTACCTTATAAAGGGCTCTGGGTAGAACTGGTGGTAAGAGTGCAACCTAAGGTGTGATGTAAACCTAATCATACACCTAAAACTATGCACTGAATGGTTGAATCTTACTAACAAGCAATTGCTTGTTTTAAAGACAATTGCGGTTTTAAACTATTACTGTGTTTAGGCAAACAGACGCTGAAAGAAGTGGAGAGGTTTTTCCCTAAAAAAAATTATGTTGCAAAGCACGTGAAAAGAATACAAATAACCTATCCTTTTAAGTAAATAAAAATTAGTGCAAACAGAAAAAAATAAAAGGTGAACGACATATGCACATTCTTTAATATATAATGCATAGTTTGACAATCTAAATGTTTTGGGGGGTTTTTTATTCACAAGGAACTAAATCCCCTCAATGGGAATGTAATTCAGCAGTCCTGTGTCATCAGACCATCAGCACAGCCCTTGAACCTTTCCAGGAAACCTTGTTAATGTCAAAGAGGTATCATCAGAATTCCTGCAGTCATAATAAAGCAGAAGACTACAATATACTATAATGCTGCTTTTACCAAGCACTCTGTAGCGCAAGGAAAGCGTCCAACTGATCAGTTTCTAAAGGCCAAGTTCACCTTTGAAACATTTATCATCTCCTGCCTCCTCTCCCCCCCCCCCCCTCCATGATCACTGCTCCCTGTGACAGTGAATGAGGGATCTTCTGTCCCCACTGTCCCAATTAAAAAAAAAAAAAAAAAAAAAAAAAAAAAACTGGCTTACACCATTCATTCACAGTTTCTTGTGAATGAATACCTACAAGTACTGGCAGCCTTTGCGGCAGACAGCTAGTAGCGCTCAATGACCTGCAAGGGCGCAGGTGAGTGTTCTTGTAGTCCATTGATCCTTCCTGCCATTCAATAACTGCCTGCCCATATGAGGCATGGGTAGACAGTTTACTTCGTGTCTGCAGGATCCAGGTATTGCACTCGCGATCTGCTGATCGCATGTGCAATGCATTAAAGATTGCAGGTTTTTTTTTTGTTTTTTTTTTAAAGCACATTTTTTTTACCTGCAAAACAGATGTGCATTTATTTTTTATGAAAGGTGAACTTATCCTTTAAAAGCTGGTGTTTCCTATACTTACATTCAGTACATTATAGATATATAGATATATATATATATACACCTGAACCATAAATGCATAAAGAACAAACAAATGTAATGCATAACAGTAGGTTGTTCTAATTCTAAATTGCTGTCAAATACTTTTACATCGTGAACTGATATTAAAATTTGACTCCAGAGAAAGTGGAAATGCTTCCTTCCAGTGGGGCTGCTTGTTCACCGTAAGGGTTAAATGCTCGTCTAGGTGAAGAAAAGCATTCTCCATTTTCTGGCGGTCTTAGGATAAAACAAGCAGATTCTGTGACATCAAATCCAATGCAGGGTTCATAGCCCTGCATTGGATTTGAGGACCTGAGGAACAGTCTACTGTTGGAGCATAGGGGAGTGCTGGCTGCTGAGTGAGCAGAGGACCAAAAAAATAAAACTGCTTGTTTTATCCTATAGACTTAAAACAAGCATTTAACCCTTTCAGTGTGAGGGTAGCACCATGGCAAGGGCCTCAGGAGCTGGCCTTTAAATAAGCATATATATCCATGTTAGCCCTGCATGTCTTAAACAACTAATCGATAATTACCTCCGAGTGGTGTGGTTCCTATTTCTGAAGTGCGGCCTTTTCCTGATACACCTGAGGCTGGAAGAGAGATGATTTATATTACAACTCTGACATTATATGACGTTTAAAGTGATGTATTAAAGAGGTTCTCCGGGAAAACATTAAACTCTTAACACTTACTTACATAACAAGACTGTTCAGTGATTTACAATACTCAGCTTATTAAATTCCACAGGAGAGTTGATGGTTGCTTGAAGTCTCGGCCTTTATTACAGACGGGGAGCTTTGAGAGATACTGGTTGTTAGGGAAAGGAAGTCAAAGATACTCCTAGAATGAATATGTATCTATGGCAGCACCTCCTTACCATCTCAGCAATGCAGAACTTTAATAAGAAGTGACACTTCAAACAACCCTCAGCTCTCATGTGGAAATTAATGAGCTGAGAGCTTTAAATCACTGAACAGCCCCTCGTCAGTTGAAAGTGCTTAACTCTTCCTCGAAATTAACATTAAAGGTAGTAGGACTAGACACTGCCATCCCAATTCCCCTTTTAAAATTATCAGAGATTATGATTACCTTGGTTATTAGGCATGTACGGTGTTGATTCTGCCACGGGAAGGCATAATGAGAAAATAAGTTTGACTGGTCAGTAAATAATTAAAAAAAAAAATCAGGTAAAAAGGTAGTGAGGAAAATTAAGTGGGAACAAAGAAAATTAGTAAGTTAGAACATCTTCATCAGATCAGACAGTAAAAGAGAAAGCAGCAGCATTTGTTTGGAAGAATTGGCAAACCCACATTTAATGTGCAATAAAAGTAATCTCATGTGGTAAAGTGAACCAGTCATAAGTCTAATGCAGTTGTCTTCAAGACTATATAGGCTTAGTTCAATAAAACCAGAGGCGTTGTCCTGTTTCCATTCTCACTGCCAGTAAGTAAATCTGTAATTTAAGCAACCCTTTCTTTTGCCCATGCAGAACAGAAAAATGGTCACTTAAAAACTTTCCTCTCTAGTAGTATATGCCGCTGAGGAGGACAAGTGATCCAATAACCTTAATTTGCATGGACAAGGAAAAGGGTTTCTTTAAGATACAATCTTATCTACTGGGGGCTGACACAGTCTGACTTGCAAGCTGCATTCTAACTCAAACGTTGTCACCTCACACAGTGGGATACTAAATAAGGGCTTCATTGTCCTGGAATTAGTATGCAATTCTTCAATGCCTTTAAAACGCCACATCTACAGCATGTCAGTAACATAACTACTGAAAGACAGAATAACAAAATAGAACACAGTAGATTCTGGTACGAGGACTTCAGTGCATAGATCTTTCCATGCAGCAAAGAAAGCATTCGCTTCAGTACAGAGGATTTGTAGCAGGGCCAGTCAAGTATGCATACAAGGTGTTACACTAATTTCATGGCGGGCAAGTGTTAGGGTTATGGCTAGTGTTTTTGGGTACATAATTGCTCTCTACACCAAACACTATGAACACCAATCTTGATGGCATAAATGAAAGAACGTATTAAGGTGGTTGTAAAGGCAGATTTTTCCATGCAACTTCCCACTGAAGCCTCCCTAAATACATACCTGAGCCCGATCAGGGTGGGGCGGAAAGCGTGAGTGAGAAATGTAGAGGGGGAAAAAAGAAAGGAGGGCCTCAACAGTCAGTACAAAAAACGAGGGACTACATGGTTCAACATAGGGACAGATGAGAGCAGTCAAAATTTGCAGGCAGATATCAGGTAGCCTGAAATTTTGTCAACTGTATAATTTTGCATTGCCTAGAATTTTCAATAAAAATACATAAAAGTGCATACTCAGAAAATGTGTTTAGAAAATTGGATGGTTGCTTCTCTTCAGGCTCTCACCAGCATTTGTTTAGCCACTGTAAATATATGTAATCAGAAAGGTCTCATGCAGTGGGCATCCAAGTGGTTTTTGTAGCACCTCCACTGGACTTTGGATAAAGTGGTTGTAAACGTATATTAAAAAAAAAAATAAACAGGTTCATATTTGTCTACTCTTCTCGGGTCCCCCGTCTGTGCTCCTGGCTCCTCTTCTCTGTCCATTGAACCCAAAGGAAGCCACTTCCTTGGGGGGGCACTTGTGCAGGCTTGCTCCTGAGCCCAATTGTCTATGTCCATTGACACAAAGTGGGAGTCGGCCCTGTTCCCGCTCCCTCATTACTGGCTTTGATGGATAGCAGTGGGAGCCAATGGCTCCCGGTGCCCCAGCAAAGCCTGTGAGACGTGGAACTGAGGGGAGAGGAGTTTTGCAGTCGGGCTCAGGTAATTAAACAGAAGGAGGGGCGGATACTGATGCCTAATCATTTCTTATCTTAAAGTGTTACTAAACCCACAAGAGTAAAATCAGTCTGTATATGCACGTAAGAACGTATTACTAAGCCCACAACAGTATGCTGTAAAGCATGCTTGTTATACTCACTGTGCAACCTAAGGGGTTAATCCTCTGCATTGTGTAAAGGATGTTTAATCCAGACTTCTCTGATCCTCCCTTTCTTCAAGTGTCTCCCTCTTATCTCCTGATAAGACATATGGTGTGGAGACACTGCAGATGCTCACTTTGTTGTGTATTGCTAGAGAATTTTTTTTTTTTTCTCTTAGGAGAGTGCATGTGATCAGCACAGGGCCAATCAGCACTGCCTAGACAGAGGGGTTCTACATCCTCCCAGAGAAAACTCATCCTACAAGCTTTAACCAGTGCTCTGCTGAACACTGATAGAAGTCACAAGACTGCTCTAACTGCTGATGAGAAAAGGTATTTAGCAGTTTATATTTACTAAAATAATTGCATTTCCATGTTCTGTGTACTGTTGGAGACCACATTAAGGTAATAAATGGTTAGGCATTATAACCACTTTAATGGGATGCCCTAGTTGTTCTCTTATAAGTTGGCAGACCTGGACCCAGGACTCTTTGCTTACAGGACAGTCTTTTCATGTATGGATAGAAGGAACCAATGGACTGATATCCACTAAAACAAGCAGGTGAGTAAGCCTGGTATAGAGTGAGAGATGTGCATCAAAACAAGATTCCATCTCCTCAGTACTTTGAGGTTGGTTTCCATGGCATTAGGGTAGACTGAGCTTTTAGCTGTAGAAGACCAGATTTCATTCCAGTTCTCATTAATGAGGGGAAATGCCATTCCTTTACCAGAATTAGCCATATGTTGGCTATGTCAAATAGCTGTTGGTCTAGCATATCGATGTGTATGGAGAAAGGGTGACTGGGAAAGAATACTTTGGCTCTACACAGGATTATAAGGTCAGAACCAAACACAGGATTCATGCCAAAAAGAAGAAGCTTCTAGTTACAGAAGACATTATTGGTAGATTACAATAGGGATAGTTAAAAGATGAATTTGCAGAATATTGGTCCATTCTTTAGGTTTGATTACCTTTTGGTGTACGGAAGAGCACAGCTTCTGACATGGGACCCATTCCTTTAGAATTTCTTGCTTGGATCTTAAAGTAATATGGAGTGTCTAGAGTCAGCTCTTGAATTTGGTGGGTCAGACGATTTCCAACAACTGGCTCTATTACCCAATCATGCAGCTCTGCATGAACATCTGTGCTGTAATATATAATATAGCCTGCAGGGGACAAAGTAAAAGTCAAGATTACGCTTTTCAAATGAATACAAAATTTTTCTAGCTAGCATACCTAATATACAAATGAACAACAGCACAGATGTGTTTGCTGTTGCTTTATAAAGCCATATGAAGCATCTTTCTACAAGTTACGCAAACTAAACTGAAATTGAGCATGTTCATGAGTGCGATGCTGGAAAATCACTTACCCCATGCCACATTGCATAGCCATGATAATGGCACCATTTTCTATGTTAAAGAATGCAATAATGCATCTCCCTACTACAGATTAGGCAATAAAACAGCAGCAGCACCCTGATGAGAAAAGCTCTCTGCTTTCCCCTCTCATTAACATATTCCTGCTTTTAGAATGACAGTGCTGTGCAATACAAGCCAGGTTAGCTCATACGATGGCCCTCCTCTTCTTCTTTGACTGATAGAAATTACAGCAAACTAAAACACAGATCTGAAATACTTTAGCTGAACATAAACCATTTTTCAGGATAATTTTAATAACTGGCTAAATGGAAACTTCTTTTCCATGTAAAAAGAATTGTATTTTACCACTATGATTGACTGGTGCCCATTACATTCTGTATGTTCATTCTGGCCCCACTTAACTGAACAATCCTGTTCTCCTGAGTATATGCTGTGAACATTTGAAAATGATTTATTTTCAAAGCAAAAAAAAAAAAAAAACCTGATACAAAGAGGAAAAAAGCAGCAATTCATTATTGCCACGTCACCTGTAATTTTGCCATTAGCTTCTGATGGAGGTTGCCAGTTCACAATAATAGTGCGTGGCTTGCCTTCTTTGCTCACGACAGTCACATCTTTAGGAGGTGAGGAGGGCACTAGATTATAAAATAAAGTAAATTGATACGTTGCATAGAACTGGATAAAGTGATAAGGTACAATTTAAAAAAAAAATTATACCTGATTCAAAGGTAGTGCCATGGGCAGTCATGCTCCATGTACTTGACCGTCGACCTTTAGTAACCATCACTGAGAATTCATAAAGGGTGTTTGGTTTTAGACCACTGACCAAGTAGCTGAGTGTCGTACTGTTTGCCATCTGAGAATGTGAAAATGTAACAAAAAAATACATGTGTTAATCCTAATGCATCATTTACCTTATTTTTCATATTCACAATGCTAGTTTAAAAGTTATTTCACTTGGTTCATACGGTTTTAAAAAAACAGTCAGATACCCTTTAATCAGCTTCTCACCTTGTACTTTGTGTTAGCTGGAATATTGGTCTTCCATCTTGCAGTGTAATAACGTGCATCTGTGTGATTTTCTGGTTCTTAGGGAGAGAGTTGTCTGCCCAAGTTAGCCGCACTGTGTCACTGCTCAAGATGGTCGCCTGGACCCCCACAGGGGGCAACATGGGGCTGGGTTCTGGAACTGGGGTGTATGAGGCATGAACAACATAAACATCAACTTCAGAAGTGTCTAAGTCACAAATTGTGAAAACACATGGGAAATTAAAACAAAATGATGAAATGGATGGAAAAATATGGAAAAAAGAACACAATTAAATGAAAAAACATGCAGGAAATAAATATATTACGTACAGCCAACCCCAGGCATATGATAAAATAAATACAAAGCAAACAAAAGGTAAAGGTTTAATAGTTAAAGTAGGAGAAGAAAGGGAGAGAGAAAGAAGAGAAACTGTTAGTATTATCAAACTACAAATATTTCAAGATTTCTTTCCATTGATTACATGTTCTCTTTGCCCTATAGAGCAAAATGTATGAATTATGCAGATTACCTGTGTGTGTTGTCGGGTTACAGCACTTTCATATAAAGGAATGCCTTCCCCCATATTGTTAAAAGCCTTCAGAGAGATGACATAGTGTGAACTAGGTTCTGCAAAGAAACATTAAGAAGTTAATACAAAATGTTTAATAGTAAAATATTACCAATAGTGATGGGAAATCACTTAAACCACAAAACACAAACTGCATTCAAAGAATCAGCCTGGAATGTTATTTGATTAACAAAATGTTAACAGCCTCAGCTCTTTGAATATTTCTGGTACATCCAGAGCCTGAAGAGGCTAAAACAAGCAGAAGACAGTTTTGTCCACCTTCTGATTTAACTGTAGAGGTGATCTGGGTGGCTGCAGAGCATCCCAAGTACCCCCCACGTACATCTAACAGTACAGCACAATCAAAATATTATAGCAATACATGCTGAGCATTTTTCCCATCACAAGCCTTTTAAAAAGAGGCATTTACACGCCCCCTTAATTCCATTTACATCACGTCACCAAAATAAAAAGAAAAGAATTTACAACTTTGCTTATTTCATATTTCCTCATTTTGTTTTATAGCTTTCTAAATTTGTTTTCATAGATAACACAACTATATGGTTTACTAAAATATACTGTTAACCATTTGCAAAAAAAAAAAAAAAAAAAAAAAAAAAAAAAAAAAAAAAAAGCTGGGTGATTTGCCACTAATAAATGTAATTAAATGACTTTATGAAGACTTCTCTTGGTGTCAAACATAGTCAAATGCAACCTACAGTCCTTTGACTTCCAAAAAAAATTATTAGTTGGTTGAGATTTCTTTTATTGGAAAAGAAATGTACTATATGGCTTTTTCCTTTTTTTTAGTAAGTTCATTAGATGAACCTAATGAAAGGAAAGAAAGAAAAAAAAAAATGTCCACACGATGGCACTGTTATAACAGAGATCAATCTGTTTCAGACTGGCTTTTCTCAATGCTGCTATAAAAGTGGTTACACTAATACAAAGTGTTACTAAACCCGTCTCTACATTCACTTTATCTGGTCTCCCATAGTACACATATGGAAATGCAATTATTTAGTGAATATAAACTGCTAAATACCTTTTCTCAGCAGTATATAGCAGTCTTGTGACTTCTATCATTGTCCACCCTGATCACTGGTTAAAGTTTGTAGTTTTCATTCTGCTCTTACTGCCCTTTGAGGCTGCATAACCCCTGACCCTCTTTCTGGACAGTGCTGATTGGCCCTATGCTGATCACATGCACCCTCCCTAGCCATACACACTAAACTGAGCATGTGCAAAGTGACTCCTAGATCTGTGTACTATCAGCAGATGGATTGGGGACATTAGAAAAACAGGAGGATCAGAGCAGGCAGGATCAAACATCCTTTTTGTACAATGCAGAGGTATTAACTCCAATTAGGTTCCACAGCGAGTAAAACAAGTATGCTTTACTGCATATACAGACTGATTTTATGGCTGTGGGTTTAGGAACACTTCAAATGAGATTCTCTCTGATCAAACTGTTCTATTTACCTCTTACCAGCGATAAAATCCTCCTTTTTCCCTACGTTATAAAACAACGGCTACCAAGGTCTAGAATCCACCAGTCCTGGGAGAGAAGTCTAAGAGGGTGTCCTGCATCACTTCCTTCTGAAACAACACACCCTACTGAATACCAGTCATGCATACCAGTCTAGCAGGGTGAAAACCCTGATGTCTTCCTCCTCACATACTTAAGAATATAGCTGCATGGGAATACAATTCTGCAGTCACTTCACTGCAGTAGAAATGTAACTGAAGCATTGTCACCCTTGCAAGAGAAAGGCCTGTGGACTAGCAGAATCACCAGGTATTTATTATTTAAATAAAAAGAAGCACTTACTAATTTATAAAGAGGCACTTAGAATATTAATTTGGCCAAGGATGAACTTGTGGTGCCCTCGTCACTGTAGCACCATAAGATTTTACCCTCCTTCATGACCAGGCCTTTTGCACTATTTAGCACTGTACTAGAACTGGTAATTGTAGTCATGCAACACTGTACCCAAAAAACATTTACATACTTTTTTCACACAAATAAAGCTTTCTTTTGGTGGTATTTGATCCACAACTGGGTTAAGGTGAGGTTAAGGTCATGTCCCCGTTTTCTTGATTTTGGTTTCATGTTGAAAATACTGCTCTCCTGAACCTTATTCACCCCCTTGATGTATTTAAAGGTTTCAATCAGGTCTACCCTTTCCTTTCTTTCCTCCCGACTGTACATACTAAGCTCCTGAAGTCACTCTGGATATGTTTTATCCCCCAGACCTTTCACCATTTGTGTTAACTGTCTTTGGACTCATTCTATCTTATCAAAACCTTTCTGTAAGTGAGGTCGCCAGAACTGGACACAGTATTCTAAATGAGGTATAATTAAAGATTTATATAGGGGATAGTTGCTAATAAACCTATAATAAAAAGTAGTGTCTATTGATGAGTTTGCGTGAAAGTTATTGCGTCTACAAACTATGATATAGAGATATATATATATATATATACACACATACACACACATACACATACATATATACACACACACACATACACACACACACACACACACACACACACACACAAACACACATATATATATATACATACATACACATACATACAGGGGCAGACTGACCATTCAAGCACTTTCGAGAGCCCGGGGTCAGTATGGGGCCCCATGAGATGCCCCTGGTACCTTTCATTGTCTTTTTCATAGGCTTTTTTGGGTGTGGACAAGGACAGAGGGGCCCCATGGTCCCCTATTGCTCGGGGGCCCCATGAGTTGTCAGTCCGCCCCTGCATGCATGCATACATACATACATGCGGCGAAATCTAATTAACTGCCACGGACATCACCACTGACATTAATACAGTGATCAGAGATAATAGTAATAATAGTATACACTGTCACTGTACTAATGGCACTGGCTGGAAAGGGGTTAAAATCTAGGGCGATCAAGGGGTTACATGGGGGGTTAAATGTGTGCCTAACAATATGTAATGTTGCTGCTTTTACTAACCGATTTCTTTGCAGGAATAAGAAGCAGAGGTCATTCTGTCTGTACAGAGCCCTGTGGCGATTGTCAACATAGGGTTTTGGGCTGTGATTTGACACAACCGATATGCAGGTCCCAGTCATGAATCATTGGCCGGGACTTGCTAAGACTTCCGCTGTGTACAATCACAGCAAATGTTGGCAGGAGGGACACGCTCCTTAAACCCGGGAAGCAGGCAGCAATGTATCAGTACATCACTTTGTCTGTTCAGTCGGACGTTCCTTAAGTGGCTAGTCTAGTTACGCTTTGTGGAAGACACAAAATATGCAATGGTAGATATACAAGCAACACAACATTATACTTTACCCAAATTTTCAATGGTGTAGTAACGCTGTTTGTGGTCAACACGAACTGTCTGTGCATGAGGACTTCCAAGTCCATAGCCAATAGCGTACCCACGAACAACTACTTGATGCTGATTTTCTGGGGGTGTCCAGCTAACAACAATGCTGTTCACCAAAGGACGCACGTGAAGTGAGCTTGGCATATCAGGAACACGCGACTCTGAGGAGGCAAAGAACACATTAATTGTGTATTCAAAACCAAGTGTTCAACACAACAGGCATAAAGCAATGCAGAATGAAGAATCACACAAGACTTTTCGTATCACAGCCACTATATAGCTCCTTTATGGCAGCCTAATAGTGGAGCTAGACACCTGAACATAACTTAAAGTTGTTGTAAACCTCAGACATGAAATATGAACAAAACCTATCCCCTCTAGAAGTGTGTGCTTGTCTCAATCTAGAGCATTAAGTGTCATTTCTGTCCACTGCCTTGTTCCTCTGCTATAAGCAAAAGTCACTTCTGACACGTTTTCCTGAGACCAACAGAAAAATGGCGACAGGGGAGGGCACAGTCTGTGACTGACAGCCTCAGCTCTCTTCCTGTGTAAAAGGGATTGTGTCCCTTCCCTCCAGTCAGCTCTCAGAGCTCTCCTCACTGATGTGTAACTTCAGTTCTCGGCCCCCTGCTTTTCAGAGCAGAGAGAACCTGTGTAAATTCTGTACTTTGAATGGCTGTAGGGGAAAGAAGACTGTAGATAAACAGGTATAACTTATGTTGGAGGATTTGTTGCATCTCTGTGTATCACCTGAGGCCAGTCACATCACTGGGCATATGTAAGGGTTTAGAACCACTTTAAAAGAGAAATAAATGCTGAATTTGCACAGACATAAAACCTTATCAGGCTTCCTGCTAATCCTCAGTGTGTCACAGCTAGTGCAAAAAGCTGCCATCCTACTTTGCATCAAAGTTTATGAACGGTCACTCCAGCACCCATTTAAGGGGAACAAATACAGAATAATACAATTTGTATGCAATTCCTTTTGAAGGTAACCACCCTGCAAATAAGTTCTCTCACCATCAAGATCATTTTCAAATGTGTCAGTAGCAACCCAGTCAGTGGCTGGTCCGCTCCCATTTACAGTCATAGCCACAACCCGAAAGCTGTATTCTGTGTTTTTCTCTAGCCCTAGAGATAAAAAGCATTCTTAAGTGTCAGAGGCATCACATGAAAACAGGGATGACGCAGAGAGGTGACAGCACTCACCAGTAATAAGTTGTGAGAGCTGGTTGTCTACCAGGATCTCATTAGTTTCAGTTTTTCTTGCAGTCTTGCGATAACGCAACTTATAACCTACAATCTGTCCATTCTGAGTACCCAGAGGAGGGGGTTGCCACTGCACCAAGATGCTCTAAGAATTTAAAGAAATAAACCATTATAAACATACTAGTGCTTTGTAATAACGGTTTCCTGAAAACTGAAATTCCCATACTGGGCAATCAAATGCCAGACTGTAAAATCCCTTCATTTTAGAATGACAGACATGGCAGACAGCCTTACTATATTCATCTGGCAGCCTTTCAACCTAATTCACAAAATGTCTAAAAAAAAATAGCTACAGGCACACTTCAGCAGCCACGTCAACAAAATGCACAACCCCTCAGTTTCTTGTCATAATAATTTTTTTTTTTCTTAAGAGATTAAAGCAGAGCTCCACTCAAAAGGGGAAGCTCCGCTTGTCTGCCTCTTGCCCCCTCCACTGCTACATTTGGCACTTTTTGGAGGGGAGCAAATATCCTGGTTTTGACAGGTACCTGCTTCCACTTCTGGCTCACTGAGCCGGAAGTTGGTCCCCTTTCCTTCCTCCACGCAGTCTTCTGGGACACGTCACAGGTCCCAGAAGACTGCCGGATAATTCAGGAGGTGCAGCATGACTCGCACATGAGCAGTGGGCACCTGTCTGTGAAGTCGTAAACTGTCACATCAGGGTGCCCACAGTTGAGATGACAGCGTCAGGGGGAGAAGAGAGAGAAGGGACTGCATGGGTGAGCACATCGCTGGACCCTGGGACAGGTGAGGGTGTGTTTATTAAAAGTCAGCAACTACAGTTTTTATAGCTGCTTACTTTTACTAAACACGAAAAAGACTGAACTCCGCTTAAGCCAATCAAATGCTTTAGATTCTTTTACCGATTTACAGTCAACCATTTTGGTAGAAAAGTTGGCTATAATACATAATAAATAAAAAGATAAACAACTTTAATGTATACACATGAAAGATGTTCTAAATCAGAACAATGTACAGGTTTTATGGGTACAGAGAACTCCTCATAGAAATTTTAAGCATGAAATAATCATAAGAAGCAGGCATTTGATAATAGGAAAATGTCTGAGCAGTGTAAGACTATGAGAGTGAATGAACGCAGCGGTTACCTGTGAGCTGCGTACTTCCAGGGTCATGTTCTGAGGAGCAGCACTGGGTACTAAAATATAGGCAAATGACAAGGAAAATTTAGCACTTGTGAGCAAGATTGGCGAAAAGAAGCACTCAAAGAAAACAGCAGTGAGAATCACAAAAAAATATGTAAACACAAACCATCGGAAAGAGTCCTGACAATGACATCCTGTGTTGACACTCCGGGCCCATGTTTATTAATCGCCACAATTCGGAATGTATACTCCGTGTATTTCTTCAGTCCAGTGACAGTGAATGAAAGCCCCCCCACATCAATATCCTAAAAATTTAAAAGGGGACCGGTAAATACACAGGGCAATCAGAACCATTAGATAATAAAGCACTAAATAGTTATTTAAAAGGTAATCTTAATCTTATTTATTTTCATATCCAAAAGTTTCTGCACATGCTAATGTCCTATGAGCTGCAGATATAAAAAGCAGGTATACCCTGAGACCTAAAGGGTTCTTCTGTGTTAAAAAGGTTTAAAAAGTTGGTTCTAATATTTCTGTTACTTCTGTATTAGGCTACGTTCAGCGTTCTGTATTAGGCTACGTATTAGGCTTGTTAGCAAGCGTCAGACAGGTGTTTGGGAAACGTTTTTACCTTTTCCAAAACGCCTAGGAAAATTCTGCGCATTGAAGCACATAGTGCTGTTCAAACAGGAGCGTTAGCGTCATGGCACAACGGACGCCTCTGATCGAGTCAGGAGGAGTTGAAGCCTCCTATTCACGTCTATGGTGCCGGTACAACGCGGTTGCAGAGCGGTAACGCCATTCAAACTTCATTATAGGCGTTTGCTGAGCGTTAAAATGCGCATGCGGAGTTTGCGGAGCGTTAAAAATGCTCCGCAAACGCTGGACCAATGCTTGTCAAACACTATAGGGGCATTTGGCAAGAGTTGGAAAAACATTCAAGTGTGAACGAGCCCTTAAACATATTAAAAAATGTCCCATTATGTTTTTTACTGACCTGTTCATTTCCTGCCCCTTTCTCCATGTAATAGAGTTTGTAGTTTTGTATTTCCCCATTCCCTGACAGTGGTGTTTCCCAGCTGACACTGACAGAAGTTGGAGAGGAGGATGTGGCTCTTAGATTTGGTGCAGGACCTGGAACCTGAACTGTAAAGTTTAAAAAAAATAAAATGCAGATAACAGTCACAGCTTCATACATTGGACGATGTATTACTTTCAAACTCAATACTACTCTAATGTAGTAGTCAATTCTTATGTCAAGGTCAAGATTAGAAGACAGATTCCTAAATTGAGAGCAATCATACTTAAATTTTATGGATACTCTCAATTAACCAAAAAAACCATCCAATATAATGTAAAATTATGATTCTGTAACACGTCTAATATACAGAATAATCACACAGACACGGCACAAATGTTTCACACTACCAATTTAATATTTTTCTTAGACTAAGAGAGAAAGCCCATATAAATCTATAATTTTCCTTTACTTTCATACTTTACTAGCAAAAATCAGTGCACAAGCGCAAGTCAACCATACAGGGGTATCCCATCTTTTGTGTAAACACATATCCATATCTACAAAAACCTTTAAAGTGGTTCTAAAGGCCTTTTTTAAAAAAAAACTAAAATAAAAAAGGAGGTTATACTTACCTGCTCTGTGAAACAATACTGCACAGAGCCAGACCCTTAACCCTTCTTTGGCAGCCCCCCAGCAGCTCGCTTCACTCCTCCTTATGAGTGCCCCCATAGCAAGCCATGTGCTATGGGAGTTTCTGTGCATGTGCACTCCCAAGCTGGGCTGTGCGTGCCAATAGACACAGTACAGCTCAGCCATGCCCCCTACTCCTTTTTCATAGGATTTGACTGACAGCAGCAAAAGGGGGAAGTTTTTTTTATCTTAATACAGGGCATGCATTAAAGGTAAAAACAACTAAACCTTAGAATCACTTTAAGGTTTGATTCACACATATGCATTAATGTGCATAGCCCGGCATGTCAGTGAATAAAAGTGTTCATACAACTAAACATAAATGTCAACCTTCAATGTGTGTTGACATGAGTTGTTAATGTATAGGTGTGAACACCGCCTTAAAGCTGAACTCATCATTTTAAACACATTGGATTAAGTGTATTCTGTTCACAAGTCCAGAATATTCAGATTTGCAGCTGCAGAGTAGTGGGATTAAATGCCATTCATCAACATACACATGTTCAAACAACAACTATTAATGTTTTATTTTATGTCAACACTCAAAAGTGCCGCCCCTTGCAAGAGCAAGGAGTCCATGCTCTTGTTTATGTGAGCCCATTCTGGATTTCTGGGGTGTCTGGAAGATATAAAGCTATAACACCCATGTTAAATCAAAGGTGTTCAAACCTTCCAAGATGTCTTATCAATATACACATGTACAAGGGCACATGATCATAGTTCGCAGCTGGACCCTTAATAGGTAACATAGCTTTAATCAGAATATCATTACCCTGGTCATGCCTTAACCTCTAATAAAAAAAATTTCAACTTCTGAAACCAAAAATGTGCCTGTGACTGCATCTTCCTTTACTTTCAGAATGGGTTCACACTAATGTGATTCACAGCGTTTGCCACACCACATTACAATTGCATTCATGCAGTCTGGTTCGGGTGTTAATGTTAAATTAATGATGGTATGCCGTTGCTTCAGAGCGCATACACCAGCTCTCAAAAAGAGCCAATATCTCCTAAACTGTGCACATTTAGGAAATATTCACTTTACCTACAGGTAAGCTTTATTATAAGCTTACCTGCAGGTAAAAGTATTAAAATGTTTACTAACACTTTAATGTCAGGATCCACCCAGATTGCCTGAGCAGGAGATAATTCAGCCTTTCAGAGCGCCGCTGAGAGCCGGAGCCAACCGCTCCTGCCCCTTCACAGAACAGAGTGCAGTGACTTACAGTCAACGCTGACCGAAGAGAACCAAGAGATCAGCAGTTTTTGATCGCTTAGTTTTCAGTCTTAGAGATGGCAGGGGACAAAGGCAGCACCAGGTATGGATGTTTGTTATTTTAAAATCCCACACTTCCCTTTTCAGTCTACAAACCTTCTGCCTGTTCGTAATACAATGTATAAAGATGTAATATACCTAGACCTAACACACTGGCTCTTTGGCAAGCATCCAAAAACAGCTCTAGAAACAACTTGACAAAAGAATACCTGTCAGTTTGTAATACATATCTGTCCTCAATTCATTATTTCTTAAAACTGTATCTACAGCTTTTCAGCAGGTGTATGGTGGTATTTCATATCGTTCGAGACTACAGAGAATATATGGTTTTCATTCTGACAGACCTTGACAGCAAAACCACAGTAGAATAATTGGATCAACAAGAAGAGGAGCCTGCATGTGTAATGAGCAAATATGGCTGGTCACCTTCAAGTATGTAATCACAAGACATTGGAGACATATTAGAAACAAGGCTTTTAAAACATTAACACAATTTAATAAGATTTACATTACGCAGCCTGGGTTCACACTGAAGTAGTGCGGAATTTGCAGCAGTTTCTGCGTAAATTCCACACCACAATCGCACCCCGTTCATGTGAACCGTATGTATGTTAACACTCCGAAATCGGTCCACAAAAAACAGTGTGATTTGTAGAATCAGAATACATAGGTGTGAATACCCATGCAATCAGATTCTAGCATGGACCAAAAAAAAGGGTCCTTCACCTTTTTGGTGCAGATGCGGTGTGATTTGAGCTATACAAAATGCATGGCTCTAATCGCACTGCACAGGATTTGCACAGGAATGTGGTGTGGTGCCTGTGCTAATCACATGCGATATGCCACCCCGCACGAGAACCCAGGCTTAATGTCTTGCTTAAGAAAAATAAATAAATAACACGCAGAAAACAAATTCATTTTAACCATGGACAGCAGGCAGATACAAATACGGTATCTATGAAACCTTCAGCAACCATTAAGAGAGACTATAGCAAGTTCAAAGGCCACTTGCAAAGTGAATATAGGGGGTCTACATATGGGAGATTGAGAGAATCTTTTCTGGAGCAAAGAAAATTCTGACTTGGATTGTGAGTACAATTAGACCCAGGTATTCCAGTTAGTGCAAGAGTTGGACGAGTGCAATAGTTGGATGGCATACTTCAGAAAGCTGATTATCCATCTGAACATTCAAAGTAAATGAATAGTCCTATGAACATTAGCTAACAATGCTGTGACTAAGAAGTCCTTCAGCAACAGATTGTCCAGGTACCCTGTAACACGAATGCATTGAAATGGAGCAAGCCTCTTTATGAACACTTAGGGTGCGAAGGAGAACCCAAAAGGTAGTGATACAAACTGGAAGCATTGATCTCCCACAGCAAAATGCAGAAAAGTGTTGATGTGAGGGTAAGATGTGGATGTGTAGATAGGCACCTTGCATTATTATTATAAAGGATTTAAATAGCGTCAACAGTAGACATTACAGTTACAATACAATTTGGTACAAGAGGAAACAGAGGGCAATGCTGGTTAGAGCTTACAATCTAGGAGGAAGGGTTGAGTGATACAAAAGGTAACAGCTGTGGGGGTATGAGCTGATGGCGGAAATAAATGGCAGTTTACTAGGTAGAAGCAGGATAGAGTTTTTTAAAGAAAAAAGGTTTTCAGGGATCGCCTAAAGGTGGATAGATTAGGAGATAGCCGGACAGACTGGTGTAGGAAGTTCCATAGGATGGGAGAAGCTTGAGAAGTCCTGGAGACGAGCATGGGAGGAGGTGACAAGGGAACTAGAGAGCAGAAGGTCTTGGGAGGATTGAAGAGAGTGGTTTGGTTGATATTTTGAGATCAGGTTCGTGATGTAGCTGGGGCCAGAGTTGTGAATGGCTTTGTAAGTTGTTGGTATTTATAATTTTATTCCTTGGGCGAGTGGAAGCCAGTGGAGGGATTGGCAGAGAGGGGTAGCAGACACTGAATGGTTGGTTAGGTGGATGAGCCTGGCAGCCGTATTCATGATGGACTGGAGGGGGGATAGCCTATGTAAAGGTAAGCCCATAAGGAGGGAGTTGCAGTAGTCGAGGCGAGAAATAACCAGGGAGTGAATTAGGAGCTTTGTGGTATCATTGGTTAAAAAGGGGTGTATTCTGGAGATGTTGCGGAGGTTGAGACAGCATGATTTGGACAGGGATTGGATGTGGGCCTGAAAGGATAGTTCAGAATCCAGGGTTACCCCTAGCACCCTGGCATGCAGGGATGGGTTGATAGTGGTGCTATTGATCCTGACCAAGAAATCAGGGGAAGAGGCACGTGGGAGAGGAAACATTATGAGCTCAGTTTTGGATAGACTGAGTTTTAGGAAGTAGTGTGACATCCAGCCTGATGTGTCTGTTAGTAAATCGGTGATACGTGAGGAAACTGATGGGTTGAGCTGAGGAGTAGAGAGGGTTGAGCTGAGGAGTAGAGAGATAGATTTGTGTGTCATCAGCATAAAAATGGAATTGGAAACCAGAGGAAGCTATCACCTGACCCAAGGAAGAAGTGTAGATCAAGAATAAGAGAGGTCCAAGGACAGAACCTTGGGTGACCCCGACAGTAAGCGGAGTAAGAGAGGAGGAAGTAGAGTTGTGACATTGAAGGTGCGGTGAGATAGGTAAGATTCAAACCAATGGAGAGTACATCACAGAGACCAAGTAAATAGAGTTTTTTGAGGAGGAGGGGTGGTCAACTCTGTCAAAGGCAGCGGAGAGGTCCAAGAGTAAGAGTAGAGAAATTTCTGAAGTGTGTTGCGGGAGAAATTGTGTGTCTACTGATGCCATAAACGCCCCTTGTCTGAGAGAAGCAATGATAGTTCTGATTTAATTAAAAATCTCTGGCTGATTAAAAAAACACACACACACTTTCTATGGCCACCCATAGTCATGTAGTATGTATAGCTGAGAAACAGCCTTAAGGACTGCAAGCATATCTATGTGTATGCATATCTTACCCTCAGGTTGTGTCTCCACCTTGAGAGGAGGAGAACTTTCTCCAGTTCCATGGTTGTTTTGAGCCACAACACGAAAGTAATAGACTGTTTCTGGCAGTAGGTTCTGAATGGTGACCTGCAACTCTCCTGGGCGGCTGGTGTTCTCCACACGCTCTCTGCATTATTTAAATAATCGATACATGGATAAATGAACCAATCATATACATATGCTATTTTTTATATTTGACAATTTTACTTTTTTTTTTTTTTTTTTTTAAGTAAATTGTGGATAGAGAAATCCCTGCTGCCCAGGTATTGGATAAGCTTAAAACATTTACAGCTGCAGCATGTTTTAGGGACTGTATATCACCTAAATTTTAAGAAACTTGTTCTGCTGCTATAAAATCAGTGTTAATATAGAACTGTTTTTCATTTGAGTTCTGGATAGATTGGGTGGGATTAGTGTCAGTGAGAGGAAATCACTGATAGCAATTAAAAAGATTCAAACCCCTTTTTGATCTTTTTTTTTTTGTAGGTGGTGTGAGAGGTGGATCTTTAACTGCCGTGTTCGATAGGAACACATTAGGAACACATTATGGAAACTGAATGGACAAAAACAACTATAGGAAAACACGAGGTGACAATTTGGTATAAGGTAGAAGGGTATGTAGAATGTAAATAATTACTGCACAAAAAAACTATACTACTGTTAGTCTAAGGATTACTTTAGTGTTGGGCACTGAGGAATCTCTGCCTTGATCTACCATATGCAGAACAAAGTAAAATAATCCATTATAGCATTTTAATAAGACAAACCTCACCTGTTCATTCCCTCCTTGCTGTAATAGACTTGGTAAGTAAGGTTTTCTCCATGAGCATCCGCGGGTACACGCCATGTCAGCTTGATGAATCGCGTGGACACCAAAGAGGCCACGACATCCCGCGGGGATGATGGAAGGGGGCCTCCCGGTGTGGCAGCTACATGGTGAGCAGTGGCACGGGTCAGTGAGGGGGCAGGAGAGGTTGGGACGGTAACACCTTGACAAAGGTAAATGGGAGGAGGGAGAGGAGGACAAGCACAGGCACACAGACACGAAAAGCGAAAAACAAGAACAGAAAATAAACAAAACAAACCAGGCACAGCCTCCATGCAGACATGGGCAGCCTGCCAACAAGAAAGACACTATAAGTGATAAGAAGTCATCAAATTCCAGTGGTTGCGGATTCATTAAATCTTGACTTTTAATCAACTTACAAAGTGTCACTACTGTTGGTTGTGTTGCCCACAAACATGCAAAACACAAAACTATTCCCAATGACTGACCAAGGTATCAGGGTGGCAAAGCACACTGCACATTCCTTGGCTGTTAATGGGTCAATGTACTCACTTGTAAACTTTAAAATGTTACAGTCTTCCACCTTTGCATACTTTATATAATACCAATAAGAGTGAATTGTAGCCTTACAGACATTACCATATAGCCACTAATAACCATCAGTCAGCCTAATATTGAAGTGCTACTTTTCTGAGCACAAGCTATAAAAAAAATTAAAAAAAAAAAAAAAAAAAAAGACATTCCTCATTTTATTTAAATTAGACCAATTTGTATAACCTTAAATAAAATATACTTGTTAGTAGCAAAAAAAAAAAATAAAAAAATTATAATTTCAGATATCACTATCCATATATGAGGAGTATAACAAACACAAAAGAACAATAACTTGTTAAAAAAAAAAATCCAAATTATGCTTATAAATTTATTTTGGAAAAGGGAAGACTGCATCATTAGAACAAAAAATTCCATGCACAGGCTATAAAATTATATGTAAAAAATAAAATTGAACATGGGAGTGCACTACAAAAGGAATAATTGTGCAACATGTACTAAAATGTAAAATTAATTCCACCAGTTAAAATGAGAACGTTATTTTGCCATTTTGTGTGTCTTTGAACTTTAGTCACAGCCAGATATACTTCAATGTAGGATGATAACCCCAATGTCACAGAATTTTTCCATGACCCAGAAATCAGCAGGACATATGACGCACAGAGAAGAGGATGCTGAACAGGGGGCAGTGGAAAGGTGGATCAGAAAACTAAGGTAAAAGGGGTCAGCAAAACTAGGAGCAGGTCATGGAGTACTTCTCCACAGGTGGGACGGCCAGGCAATCATAAAACAATAAAGGTCAAAGACACGATGAGATAATGGAGTCAATATTCATCAAGTCAACAAAGCAAATATATGCCACCAGCACGGCCTGATTCATTACTGGTAGAAATGTGGGAAGAATGAAATGCAGGGGTTCTCAGATCAGGAGGGTCTAGATGCATGGCAGCTCCAAACATTGAAGGATGCTTAACAGTCAACACTTACCAGGCTCTAAAATAATGAGCTGAGCTGCTGCCTGAACATTTCCCACTTCATTCTCAGCAATACACTGATAAAACCCCTCATCTGAGCGTACCAGTCCAAGAACTTGCAGATCATGATCATCCTGAAGGAAAAACATTTTAAAACAAATGCAGGCAGGCCTGACAGCTCTCTAAAAGGTGACTGAAGAGAGATTATCTGCCTAATCTGGCCAGTTAGTCTGAACAGGAAATCTGTATGCCCATAGCCTATATCTGACCATACCAGACATGCCCTGCCTGAGCTTAAGGTCAAGAGTCTATGGATTAGATTGTGTTTTTCCAGGCCATTTATTTAGTTCTCCTCCTTCAAGAAAGGCAGATGCCAAGGGTATCTTTAACCCTCTCTCTCTCTAAGGCTTAAGCATGCACATTTACCCATGCAACTTTGACTATTTTATCATAATTGTTAGAAAGGTCATTCAGAAGCCAGAGCAGCATATGATCTGGTGACTAAAGCCGCTTATAGATTATGTAATTGCTTGATTCTGACATCAGCACTGACTGTGCAGTGCTCCTGCAGCGCTATTGTGTTCTACCAGCTGGGAGCCTTCCTTGCCTGCAGAACACAGTAATTACTGTTGGCAGCCATCGCCACCAGCAGTGATCGCATAAAAGAAATTCGACAGGCCGCTTGTACTTAAGTTGATTGATGCATCAACTTCAGTATAATCAGCCTGCCCATAAATGGATCGAATTTCAGCCAGTCCTTGCTGAACCAGTCGAGATTCGATCCATCTATGGCCTGGCTTAAATAACTACTGTTAGATAATACAATTTCTAAGGGAGCCCACAGATGATACGATTTTCTTTTCTTCTTCCATTGGTGGAAGGAAATAAAATTCCCATCAAAGTCAGTATTGTTAGGGGAATACCTCCTGCAGAGCTACTGGGTTCTGCTGGGGGGGGGTGCAGGGAGCCATCCCAACCAGCAGAGCACAATGATTACTGCATGCAGATATATTAGCTGGCAGTAATCGCATGTAAAAAGATCCGACAGGCTGGCTGTACCCAAGTCAAAGCGTTCGACTTGGGTACAATCTTCACAAATATGGATTGACATCTGGCCATAAAAGCAGGGACTGGCCGAATTTTGATCTATGTATGGCTGGCTTAAGACATTACGGTTTTACTACTTCAGATAAAAAAAAAATCAGCATGGTGTACTAAATGCAGCTTATCACTGGTTTATTACTAAAGGCAGATACACTGCGCACTGCAAATGCACTTCAAGTGCACTTGCTCCAGAGCTAAGTAAATGAGCGAAGGCTTCACTTTGAAAATTAAATGCACACACATGCAAGGAAAATAAAAACTGCATTTTTGCTTGTACATGATTGGATGAGAGAAATCAGCAGTTACCATTCATTATAGAGCTTCCCCTCAGATCTAGAGCAACTGCACTTGTAGTGCACACACTATTTGCCATAAATCAACCCCATAGTCTCTGCAGACAATGTGTCTAAATACACTATATTGCCAAAAGTATTGGGACACCCCTCCAAATCATTGGATTTAGGTGTTCCAATCACCACCATGGCCACAGGGGTATAAAATCAAGCACCTAGGCATGCAGACTGCTTCTACAAACATTTGTGAAAGAATGGGTTGCTCTCAGGAGCTCAGTGAATTTAAGTGTGGTACCGTGATAGGTTGCCACCTGTGCAATAAGTTCATCCGTGAAATTTTCTCCCTACTAAATATTCCACGGTCAACTGTTAGTGGTATTATAACAAAGTGGAAGTAACTGGAAACAGCCGCAACTCAGCCACAAAGTGGTAGGCCACATAAAATGACAGAGCGGGGTCAGCGCATGCTGAAGCACACAGTGCGCAGAATTCGCCAAGTGTTTGTGGAGTCAATAGCTAAAAACCTCCAAACTTCCCGTGGACTTCAGATTAGCAGAGCAGTGCGTAGAGAACTGCATGGAATGGGTTTTCCATGGCCTAGTAGCCGCATCCAAGCCTTACATCATCAAGTACAATGCAAAGTCGGATGTAGTGGCAAAACGCAGTGGAGGTGTGTTCACCAGAGTGATGAATCACACTTCTCTGTCTGTCAATCCGATGGACATGTCTAGATTTGGAGGTTAACAGGAGAATGGTACTTGTCCGACTGCATTTTACCAAGTGTAAAGTTTGGTGGAGGGGGGATTATGGTGGGGGGTCGTTATTCAGGGGATGGGGTTGGGCTTGGCCCCTTAGTTCCAGTGATGGGGACTCTTAAGCCATCAGTTTACCAAGGCATTTTGGACAATTTCATGCTCCCAACTTTGTGGGAACAGTTTGGGGATGGCCTCTTCCTTTTTGAATGTGACTGTGCACAAAGCAAGGTCCATAAAGACATGATGAATGAGTTTGGGGGGGGGGGGGGGGGGGGGGGGAGGAACTTGACTGTTCTGACCACAACCTGATACAACATCTTTGGGAAGAATTGGAGCAGAGACTGTGGGCCAGGCCTTCTCATCCAACAGCGCCTGACCTCACAAATGCACTTCTGGAAGAATGGTCAAACATTCCCATAGACACACTCCTAAACCTTGTGGACAGCCTTCCCAGAAAAGTTGAAGATGTTGTCGCTGCAAAGGGTGGGCCAACTCAATATTGAACCCTACAGACTGGGATGCCATTAAAGTTCATGTGCGTGTAAAGGCGGGTGTCCCAATACTGTTGGCATTATAGTGTATCTAATTTAAGAGCAAAAATCTTAAAAAAACAAAAACACAACTTTCTAATATACACTATATGTCATGACGCAACATGGCAACTTGGAGTATAAACCTGGAGTATAACAGAAGTACTAACAAACACTGTTGTCTAACAAGTATCCTGGAACAGCAGAAAGGTATAAACACCTAAACCAATAGAGGCCTAGGGAATCCTACATGAGGATTAAGGCAATGATTCTCAAAAGTAACTTGATATTCAGAAACCCACAGCACCAGTCACATACAGCTTTCACTGACCTCACACAATTAATTTGTGATTAACAGTCTGTTATTGGTTAGGGCCACATTTCCGTACACCTTGCAATCAAAGAACACCCAATTCAATTCCCACTCACATTATACCCTACATTTTATACTGAAATATCTTCTTATAAATTTTAATTACAGTGTTACTAAACCCATGACCCTGCATTCACTATATCTGGTCTCACACAGTACACACAACATGGAATCATTTTATTAAATATAAACGACTAAATACTTTTTCTCAACAGCTGTTCGAGCAGTCTTGAGACTTCTATCAGTGTCCAGCAGAGCACATGTTAAAGTGGAGTTCCAGCCGTTTTTGTGCGGATTAAAAGTCAGCAGCTATAAAAACTGTAGCTGCAGACTTTTAATAAACACACACTTACCTGTCCCAAGGTCCAGTGATGTGCTCAATCGCGCCATTCCTTCTCTTCTTCTCTCTCCATGGTGTCGGCAGCTCAATGTGGGCACTGGGCTGTGACAGCTGGCGGCTTTAAAGCCGGGTGCCCACTGCACATCCCGATTGGTTCGGCAGTCTTCTGGGACCTGTGAAGGTTCCCAGGAGACTGCAGGAGGGAGGGGGGGGCCGAACTTCCGGGTCACTTCACCGCAGTTAACTGACCCGGACGTGGGAGGCAAACAAGCAGAGCTTCCACTTTTGGGTGGAACTCCACTTTAAAGCTTGTCGGAGTTTTCATTTTGCTCTAGGAGGATTAAGAACCCCTGACCCTCTGTCTGGACAGTGCAGACTGGCCCTGTGCTGATCACATGCACTCTCCCAAGAAAGAAAGAAAAAAAAAAAAACTCTAGCAATACACCCCAAACTGAGCATGTGCAGAGTGTCCCCACACAATATATCTTATCAGGAGAGAAGAGGGGGGATGCTGAAAGAAGTGGAGTTTCAGAGAAGACAGGATCAAACAGCGTTTTTATACAATGCAGAGGATTAACCCCTTAGGTTCCACAGTATAACAAGCATGCTTTAATGCATACTGTTGTGGGCTTAGTAATACGTTCTTCACAGCAGAATTATTTTGCCTAAAAACTTATCAGGTTTTTCCACTTTCAACAAGAAAGCAATAAACTTCTGCCTAAACCTGACCATACATGGGTCAGCAGGTTGAATTAAAAAAAAAAATACAAAAAGACAACACAGACCCAATTCCCCCATCCACACATTCAAAGTGGATAAAGAAATTCTCCCTGCTATGTCACTGTATTCTGACAGTGGGATTCCCTCGCTTTGAGAATACAGTGCTGCTGCCAATTGGCTGCTGATCGAATGGAAAATTTCAAGTAGGAATGTTCATGCGAACTTGAACGATAGATCAACTTCTCATGGACAGGAATGGCCATAGGATGGACTGAAACTTGGCTGGCTCCTGCCAAACACATTTTGATCCATGTATGGCCAGCTCAATTAGCTATACTAAACTCCAAGAACATTTTTTGCTTATATTATAGCAAATGATTCCAGTTCCATGTAAGGTTTTTGTGACAGCCACAACAATAGCACAGGTACAACCATGCAATTCTAAAACATCCATAACTCACCACTATTTTGAAGTAATCGCTTGGAATAACCATGTCTCCATTCTTCACCCATTTGACAGCCGGTGTGGGTTTTCCACTCACCTCACACTCAAACACAATGTCCATAGATTCATGAGCATGAGTATTAGATGGCTTAACATTAAAAATAGGAGGCACTGTATAGAGAGAAATGAATTAAGTTTTTTTTTAAAACCTTCTTGAATAAGTAGCAATTTGTATGTCTGTACCAGAATATATTATTGCCCAGTGCTCTCCAATATTGGGAAAAAGCTTTCAGAAATGAGAATGTTCGCACAGGATGATAAAGGTTATGATGATTTAATGACAGCAGGTGAAGGGAAATACTGATCATTTGTCACCAGCAAAAACTCAGTCGGAGAGGGAAAGGAGAGTGACCTGGTTTACTGTCAAACACCCTGTGTTATCACCCAGAAGGAAATAGGACATGCCCCCAGAGGGAAGTACTGCATCCTCTCCCAGATAATAAACAGAAGATAAAAGTGAAACCCAGTGCCAGCGTCATGTAGGACAATAACTGGGTGTAGCAACTAACACAAACATTTTCACATATTTTCCAAATGTTTCTACAAAACACCAAACACTGCTGGATGAGTACAATTTAAACAAAAAAAAAAAAAAATAGAAAACCCCCAAAAACAAGAACCCTGTTGGGAAACAGTGCACTACATGCTATAGAAGGGGTCTCCAAACTTTCTAAACAAAGGGCTATTTGACTGTCTTTCAAACTTTAGGGGGCAGGTCTGTTGGGAGTAAAAAATGTCCTTGCATCAGTGGACAAAAACAAAACCATCTTTGGTATTAGGTGGAGGAGTAGTGCCCCATTGTTGTCAGTGGAAGAAACAGTACCTATCATTGGTTTCAGTGGAAGGAACAGTGCCCCATCATTGGTGTCAATGATTTAAAAAAAAACAAATGGTGCCCCCATTGATGGTATAAGTGGAATGAATATAGTATCTCAATGATGGCATCAGTGGGAGGAAAAGTGCCACAATGGCTGAATAAAGGCCCACAAAGGGCTGCACGTTTGGAGACTACTGGGCTATAGTATACAGAAGATCTTGCAAACTATAATAAAACAGCATCAAAGTTACATTAGAAAGCGTTCCCATAAAGAAAAACATTTATAACAAAAGTTGTTTTTTTTTTACAAATGGATCCTCTCTTTACTTTTGTGTCACAGGAGTTTTAATCATTGCCAATGCTTTTTCCCTATTTCCAATCATTTATTCATCACAACCTGTATTTTTCGGCCAGCTCTTAAAGTGAGCTTGACTGCTTAGGTGGCATTCATATCTTAACATACCAATGCTGCAGAAAACTATGCTTCTGCATATACAGGACGTTTGACAACGCTTATTGTCAGAGTAGCCTCCAACCAACTGTTCACCGATCGCGATGGCAAAGCAGTGAAGTAGCTCACAGATCCGTCCCCCCTTCTTCCAGTCCACTGCTTTGCATAGGATTAATACAAATGCAGATTTACTGCATCCTAGTTCTAGGTTATAACAACTGCTTTTTTTTTAATGCATATATAACTAGGTTTAGTAGGGTTTGTAATATCTGCCAAGAGTTCAGGTTTAAAGTCCACAAATAAGGATGTAGTATGGTGTCTTCTGAATATAATCCATACACCCTTTAGTGCTATGAAAGTGGAATAACTCAACATACATTACCATACATTAAGCAGAATAGCTCAACATACATAAGCTGTTGGAAAAATAGTTGAAATGAATGGTACCATGACACGCCCTCAGTTCACTGGATTTAATAAAGTTGATGAAGCAAAATTATATAAAACTGAACATAAGAAGTCCTCAAAGTGAAACATAGCACACTGAGGTTCATAGTAAGAAAAAAAAAAACAAGGCATGAAAGGCATGTCAAACTGAATTATAAATACAATGCATTTTATTGAAGACTGAGGTCACCATCATACCGACAACCGAACTTGTACCTCTAGAAGTAGTATGAAAAGCCCTGGAGCACACGCAGTGCTAGGACTGCCACCTCCTACAGAGCTGTATTTCTGCATATGATGTTTCCTTACCTTGTACAAGAAGTTCAGCTTGGGCCTGTATGGTTTGATTTCCATTGTCTGCTGTACATGTATAGATCCCAGCATCCTCTTCTGTCACATTGCTGATCTGCAGGCTGCCTCCTGCCAACAATGCCAATCTGTCCGAGCTGCAAGTAGTAGACACAGTCAATGGAAGGGTAAAGTCAAAACCATCTAAGCTTGCATTGAAATGAACAATAGCAGCAACAGGACAGAATAAATCTCAGCAGTACTGACCTTCCTAGATCACCAAAAGGCAGGAAAGAATGGAGTTGTATGTCAATAAATCTTTATATCACCCCACAGGGTTCTAGAGTTATCACTGAAGAGGCAACACCATACATACTAGTTATATAGTACAAACACAAAGCAATACTGTGATTCTAAAAAGGACACCGCCGCTTTTATAATAAGAAAAATCAATTCAACATGATATGAAGTTAAGAAACTGTCTATGTAAACACTTGTAGTGGGCACAATGGAATTATGACATTTAACAGAAAAAAAACATTTTGGATGCATGTGACCAGTTTA